TTTGAAATACTTTAAATACATAAAATGTTCATTTTTTAATTGCCCATCAAATAAAAAAAATAATATACAGGGGCCTGTTCCATTTAAAAAAACGCGGTAAAATTATTTAATATTTCTGAAAGTTTGGCGTAAAATACTGAACCTCCTATATGATTTACGATTACCATATTTATAGGAAAGCAAGAACAGGCCATCTGAAGTAAACACCTAATATAGTTTTGATTTCAGAACAGTTCTTGTATTTTTAATATTTTTTTTAAGAAGGGTTGAAAAATATATATTTTTGATTTATTTTTTAATATCTCTGAAACTATTGAAATAGATTTACTCATACCTTAGGATTATGTAAAGTGATCTGAAAGGAAGCGAAAAATGCAATAATATACAGGGTGTTCCATTTAAAAAAAGTTATCCAGATCCACTCACACTTTTTTGAGCCACCCTATAGAAGTTAAAATATTTTCCGGAAATACATCCTGGTACATAACTTAGGTATGCACTTCAAGAAAATTCTCAAGTTTTTTATTCTAGGAGCTCAGATGCCCGACGCACTATTGCCGGACCCTGTATAGGTAAGTGGTTGTAAATAAAATCCTATTTACGACTTCGCTGTCATACCACTATTTGGACAGTTCTAAATTTGCATTGGATTTCCTCTGTTTCCAACACCGATGCACCACCGTGGATATATAAACAAGGTCGTTACTAATATACTAGGAGAAAACATTACATATATACGCTTATACCGATACTTTATCCTCATAATCACAATGGTCGACATTACTTTCGCTGGGTAATATACTAATATTAAAAAAAAACAGAATTATCATATTTTGTTGTAAAGTACCTAGAGATTACCCTAAGCCTAGATACCCCTAAGGCCCTCGCGGTCACTCTTAGTAAATTCAAATACCCTGTTTAAATATAAATACACATAAAAAAGCAATAAAACACAAGCCATAATATGCGAGTTAATAAATCCTTATATTTTATTTTAAGTAAGTTTTAATAATTAATAATCTTAAAGTTAAATGAAGATTTCTGTTGTAATAGCTTGCGGACAATTATGTAAATTGGAAAATAACGACTGACATCCTTATATAACGCCAAACGGTTTCTCTTTCAGAACAACAGAGGTGTATCCGCCATTTTTATTGAATCAATTGAATTTCCGAATCCTGATTCACTATTGTTTGTTGGTTAATAACCGGATATTTTAAGAAAATTATTTAAATAATTACAAAATACACCTATTTTGCAAAAGGGTTCTATATAGGGTTGTTCACCACATATGACACGGAGTATTGTAGCTAAACGATTAGATTTTTAAAAATTGTAAATTTTAGGTTCGTTGAAGGGCTATTAGAGCTACAATTTAAAAATATTTTTACAAGATACAGAGTGTCCCAAATAAGTAAAAAAATGTTATAGTTGTATTTTTTTTAATGGAACACCCTGTATATTATTCTATTTCTAGATTCTTCCTTTGAAATAAAGGTAAATTTGATTGGGTTTATCATACTTAAACCTTACCGTTTTTGAAATATTTTCAATTTTATGAAATTGCAGTAAAAATTTTAAGGCTTCATTGTCATTACCATTCCATTCAAAGCGTTGGAAAATTTTGTATTTTTGAGGAAATATTTCTACCGCAGTAGGTATGGTATAAGTATATTTTTTTAAAATTAATGATTTAAGAGTTATCTACAGAAAAACATATTTTTTATTTGGGACACCCTGTATATTTTTAATTAAGTGAAAAGAACCTATAATTACCTTTCCAAGAAAATAATACATATGATGTTTTGCTATAATCCCCTTCGAAATACAGAATTTTTAAAAGTTCGCTGCTTTTAACTGAAAAAATCATATTTTCTGTTGATAATTCATAAATTATTAATTAAAAAAAAAATGATACTTAGAGAATTAAATTCTACGTAAAAAGATTGGAAATGTTTTCATAAAAATACAAATTCTTCCATCAAAAAAGTTACAGCGATTTGTTAAAAATGCATATTTTATATGTGGTTTTCACCATTATGTTTTTGACAAAAATTAAGCTCTAGACACCAATATTAGTTTTCGTCTTTTATCTTTTATTATCTCCTCTACTACCCTGTACACGAACTATTTCATATTCATTTAATCATGTATGCGACTGCACATACAACCCCAACCCGACAACAATACTATCGATTTCCTCATTGCAGGTTTAGTCTACACTAGAATTATTTTACATACATCAGATTAACATTCTTAAAGCAAACGCCCGGAGATATCGCATTCTTCGAACGCATCTCATTAAAAAGATGTTTTCCCATTTACGTAATAACTTTATTAGCGTATTCGTGCCACTTCTTCGACATCTTCTTACCTGGTCACGTAATCCTTTCAAACATATGTATAATGCAACCGAGTTAGAGATCTATCATCGAGCATATACATGGTGCAGTTTACACATACGATACAAGAATATAGAATGAGTAAGAGGGGGGGGGGGTTAATCACTGCGGCCTTAAAGATCTATTGGATTTGAGGTCAATTCCTATTGTAAGGACCTGACCATGCCCCTCCTCCCTCGAGTTGATGACTCGCCAACTCGATGTCCTTACATTGAAGTTCTGACCTTGGACAAGGCTCAGCAGGTAGGTGGTGTCTTTCCCCTTGCTCCTCGGCAAAAAGACCGTTATGGCCGCCCCTTTAGGGATGTTTTCTGCAACCAGTTCCGGCCCTTGCCAATTTTTAAGCTTATGTGCGATTTCCACCCACCAATTTGCCGATTCTTGAGATACACAATCTATGAGGATCATGTCCACCCGAAAGTGTATCCCCGCAAAACGCAGCTGACCCACATTTTGTAGATCGTTGTGTTGCGATCCGATCGTCACTACTTCGTCCAGTATAGCCTCTTCTAGAGACGTTTGCTGGTCGGTGGTCAGAGTAGTACTCTAGGAAATCCTTTGGCAGCACCGCCATTTTCACTTGTCCAGCAATACATCAAGCTGGTGATACGTCCCTGCTTGCCACCCGGTGTTGGACGGCTTTCCATCCTGGCTTTTTTCTCTCCCTGCCGGAGAAGAGGTGAAAGATTCTCGCTCCCTCTCTTGCCCTTTGATGGAGATGAGTCAGGTTGTTTCTTGGTTTCTATACTCTCTCCTTTTCGGAGGAGTCGGGTAAACGAAACGGTAGCTTATTGGGTCTAGAGGTAGGCTCCCGACCCTTGCTAGAGAAGGTGGTAGCTTATGTGCCACTTGTGGAGGATGATCCCAAGCAAGTGTCAGCCGCCCCTCCTGTAGTTTCCTTTGAATTTGGTCCCTTGGAACTTTCATTTGTAATGTTCCCATTGTCGCATGTCGCTAGGGGCTTCCCACAGCTTCACCGGTGGTGTTTTTAATACTAGATCTCATAGTGTTCCCACGAGTCGCTAGGGGTATATACAATGGGGTGCCCCGGGTGCCCCCTGATGCCCCAAGGTTGAGGCCAGTAATAGCTACTCCTCTATCTAGCCACGCATCCCTTTGACCTGGTCCCGCCATCGTAGGATTTAGGTTTTTGGTGGGGTTGTCTTCTCTTGGTCCAGGCGGTTAAGCCAAGACCCCCCCACACCCTCTACCCGCGAGACATGACCACAGTCAGTAGAGGGTGCCTGGTATGACGGACAGGGGTAGCCCCGTCCGGCATCGTTATATGTCTTGGTGCAATTTCCTGGCATCGACACTACAGTCAGAGAGGAGATTCCTCCAGCACCTGACAAGGAGCTTCCCCACCAACGACAAGGTCTTGCATCTCCTAGGACACTAACTACGAACGAACGAAAATATCTAAATTCTACAGGATGTCAAAAAAATAGTGTATCTAAATAATAATATATAATTATAAATAGGCGTACCTCTCTTTTTTGGGTGATTATACAGATAAAAATAAAACAAAAAGTTCCTATGAACGTATGACCTAAAATACTTCACGAAGAAGTTACAGCCCTAGAAATATTAAATAAATATATAATATACAGGGTAGTTCGAACTGTATTCCGGAAACTTCAGCAGCATATTCTACAGATAAAAATAAGTAAAATGCTTAGTTTCTCAGATACAGGATGTAGAAATTTCATTTTTATTTCGATTTTTTCCAAATAATTTCTGAAGTAACAAGTAACGTCAATATTTAGGTGTCTGGGAGTTTTTTGAGAAATTTGATTTTGATGTCAATATGACTCCTACTAGTAGAAGGCGCCACCTTCTACTAGTACTTAAAACACATGCAGTTTTAACTGTTGTTAAGAGTAATAACTTTTCATCCGTACCTGTATAAAATTACTGGGTGAAAAAATATACATTTCCGTGATTTTTTACGCAAAAAAATATCTCTTGGTAAAAATGGCCACGAGCAACCGTTCTCGAGATATTTAGAACGGAAATAGTCAATACATGTCATTATTGACAAAAAATAAACATGATGAGTAGATTAGTTTTTTGACTGAAATAGTAAATTTGAGAACTTTTTATTTTGTTTAAATTAAAACATAAATAAAAAACATTTCAAATTGATGATTTCAGTTTAATAACTATTTAGTTAAGATGTTTAATTTATGTGAGTGACGACAGGTATTGATAATTTCGATTCCAAATATCTCGAGAACCATTACTCGTAGCGATTTTTAACAAGAGATCTTTTTTACGTAGAAAATGTCGTAAATATATATTTTTTTCACCCAGTAGTTTTATACAGGTACGGACGAAAAGTTATTACTCTTCAAAGAAGTTAAAAAATATGTAAGTGGCGCCCTTTACAAGTAGGAGTCATATTGACATCAAAATCTTGGAAACAATTTTTGGAAAAAATGAAAATAAAAATGAAACTTCTACATCCGGTATCTCCGAAACTAAGCATTTTAGGACATACATTGTAGGAACTTTTTTACTTATTTTTATCTGCAGAATATGCTACCGGAATACAATTCGGACCACCCTGTATAGAATTCTAATTGTCGTTTATTTTAGGGGTTCTCACGAGATGGACATCTACGGCAGTGTTTTTGAACCATCGGCCATTTCCGACTTACAGCTTGGAGAACATGCCAAGTACTCAGTTTTCTTGCAGAGAGAAAATACTAGGAGGATACTACGCTGATCCAGATACGCAATGCCAGATGTTCCATGTGTGTGTGAAAGTTGCGGGCATTGGGGTGAGTGGTTGTAGTTCTTTAAACAATATTTTCTTGTGTATTTCTGAAACCAAAGTTTTGTTTAATTTTAAATAAACAAATCGAAAAAAGTTAAGGATATTTTGTTTTCACTACGAAGAAAATTTTTCAGAAAAAATATGTTATAACTATTAATACCTATGTTTAAAAAAATACTGTTTGTAAAAATAAAAAAATTGCACCCAAACAAATAAAAAGCATTATCATCAAAACTGTACATTTAATTTTTAGGATAAAATTTGTTTGCGTGTTGCTAAGCGGCAGTTTGCGATATTGTGGTTATTCTGTCATCGATAATATGAACAGACGTCATTTAACAATAGAGGAAGCAAATCAAGCCATTGGGTTGGTTCTTTGCGGTGCGCGACAGATCGATGTGGCTGATCGATTTAAAGTCATCTAAAATGTATTCTAGACTTAAAAACCGATTTAATGAGACTGGATCTGTCATGGAGAGGCATAGGGGGGGGGGGTCGACCAAGGTCTACTAATGCTAGGAAGGACCGAAGCTTACTCAAAGGATCTAGGATGGATCCTGCAAGAAACTACACGTTGCTCAGCCAGGACCTTTTGGCTGCCAGCAGAGGACGGTATACCCCTTGGACGGTCCTAAATCGATTAGAAAAGCAGGTTTACATTACTATAGGCCTACAAGACGCCCTCCGTTGACCGCGAGAGTCAGGTTGAGGTTATAAAGTTTTTGCTCTGGTGTAATGAAAGAGCTAACTGGAATGATGAGTGGCCTATATTGGTCTACCCTCTCTATGCCTCTCCATGGCAGATTCAGCCTCATTAAATCGGGTTTTAAGTCTAAAAATTACACTTTAGTTGACTTTAAATCGATCTGTCGCGCACCGCCAAGAAGCAACCCAATGCAATGGCTTGATTTGCTTCCTCTACTGTTAAATGACATCTGTTCATATTATCGATGACAGAATAACCACAATATCGCAAAGTGTCGCTTAGCAACACGCAAACAAATTCTATTCTAAACTAAAATTAAATGTACAGGGTGTCCCACTAAGAGTAGCTCTGGGCTGTATCTCGGAAAGTATTAGCCGTAGGGCCTGCGGAAAAAAATATTTATAACTAAAGGGGCTATGAGAAATTGCTGGAAATTATTTTCAAGTTTGTAAAACGGCCGCTAGAGGGCGCAACAGCTATGGAAAATAAGAAAATAGTATTTTTACAGAATTTTGCCTAGATAATGGGTACTATAAATAATAGATTTATAATCTTCAGTAAATTTTGGATTTTTTTTGTCAAATCTATTTTCCTCTACCTGCTAAAATAAAGTGGTGGGGGAAGGTTATATTTATCTTTATTTAGATGTTAATAACTCGGACTGGATGAACGGAATTCAACAAACGAGGGCTCGTTTAAAAGAACGTTCCTTACTCTATATTATACCATAAAAATAATAATAATACGCTTTTGAACATAAACGCTAGGGGGCGCTGATTTACAATTTAACAAATATTGCGCGTTTTTTCAAAAAAATTAAATACGATAGTATATGTAATTTTAGCTGATAGTAAAGAATAATAAAAGCTTAAAAAGTCAGCAAAAACCGCATCTTGATATATTCTTTCAAACCGAAGATTCCGTCGAAAATTGATAAAGATCGTTATCTTTTTTCAGTACCCACAGGCACATTTTTGACGTGTTTCAGTCAGGTTTAAATTATTTTTTAAAGCTATATCACTGCCCAAGCTATATTAAACATATTAACCATAGATCACGAGATATCACTATCATTGTTGGAGATCTAAATGCTAAAGTAGGGAAATGTCAAAGACAATGGACACCTTAAACATGACATGGTTTGTACTAATGTTTCCACGACATAAGACATAAGAATGGCTCTACTCAAAAAAGTAATAATGCTGTTAAACGAGAACAGGCTGGTTTTGTGAATGGTAGAGGCACCCGAAATCAAATTGTTAACATTAGAAAAATGATAAAAAAATGCCGCGAATATAGTAGCTTAAAATACTTTATACCTACTTTTTTACTTTTATTAAATAAAATACCAGTAAATAATGTGACAAACTAAAATGCTATTTATATTTTTCTAGGTTCAAGATTTCCGTTTCTTGTGTCCAAATGGTACTGCCTTCGACCAAGACCATCAAATCTGTGCGGAATGGGAAGATGTGGATTGTGACGCCAGCACACTATATTACTCCAGTGATAATTTTGATTTGTACCGCATCGGATCAGGTAAAATATTTTATGTACTATATGTTTTGGAAAATGTTTATACACGGTGACCCATATACGGTAATCGCAAAACAATTTCCGATGCGTTTCCGATCAACGTTGAGTTACAAGCCATGGCGACAGCGCTGCCAGATTGTGATGGATTAATCTAAATATAAAATTGGGAAACAATATATTTATTATATCATTTTTAAAGTTTTATTTTAAATTTTTTTCCCCAACAAGGGACCGTCCTCTGCCGGAAACACTGCGACCTGTGAGGCCTATTGTGTTTGTCCCCTTTCTATATCTGCACCCATTCTCCTATCCCTGTGCCCTGCACTAACTTATGCAGGTCCTTGATAGGATGGGAGCATAGTTCCTCCGGTTCTAGCCTAGCTTTCCCAAATAAAAAGTATCGCTTGCGATCCTGAGCCTCGCAGTGATATATTATGTGCACCGCTGTTTCAGGATCTTTATCACAGAGTCTGCAGCAACGACTTCATACAGGTTGAGCTTGTTCAGGTAACTCTTGACAGACATGTGTCCTGTCAAGAGGCCTGTTGTAATCCGTACTTTATTCCTGCTAAGTATTAGCAGTTCTTTTGCGGTTTTAGAGCTAGGTCCTAGATAGATAAAGATAAAATCAAGAGCTCTTAAGTATTCTATTAATTGGGGAATGCACACTGCATTCACCAACTAATGGAATCATATCAATTCTCTCTGATGTAGAATAAGTTTGCATTTTCGACAAATTTCTCAAATTCTTTTTTTTTAACTGACACAAAATGATAATTAATTGTTAAAGTTGGACTAATTAGATAGCTATGTTGAAGTAACGTCAGACATATTACAGCCACCTAAATTTTATCAAATAATAAAGATCTACTCAGCTCAAATCATGTAAATGAAAATATCTAGGAAAATCTTTGTTTGAGGGGTAGGCAACCTTAATAGTATTTTAAAGAGACATGAATCCTTTATTGAATATCGGAATAATTTACTGGATGTTCCATTTAAAATAAAAGAGTAACATGCTTTTAAAGGTAACCAATGTTCAATATTAATTTTGTCTCACCCTGTATAACTTTTAGGATCAAGTTTTAATTTGATTTAAAGCACAATAGTTAATTTAACTACATATTAGGCTATACCGGGTAAATTCAAATTTAGGTAGCTTTTATTGTAATTTAAAAAGTTTTCTTTATATTTAGAAAATTTTAAATATGTCAAAAATATAGTCTTATAAAAGTCTCTTATAAAACTCACCTTTATTTTTTTCCCAGAATCCGAAAATCAATTAATATATAGGGTGTTCCATTACAAAAAACAAAACTTTAATATGTAACTTTTTTTGGGGACACCCTGTAGACCTCTCTATATTTTTAAAAAGTGTTCTGAACTAACTTACACATCCTCACAAAATTTCATTTCAATACAAACTGTCGTTTTCCTTGGAGCCTCCGCGGCGTATGAAAGGCGCCACCCTGTATTATTTGTGCGAGCTTGTACCGTATGATCGAAAAAAACGGCGTCCAGTTGGCTTGGAAATGACGATCGATGACATTTCCCATATAATTTTACATATAAAATGACAGCGATCTTCATTTCATAGCCATCGTTGACGCCGTTTTTATTCAATCATACGGTATTATATGCGTTGGTCAGATATCTTTGCTCTACTAAAAGATCATTCATCAAAAGCCGTAATTGATTAGATCGAGGTCAAAAACCAGCTCAAAATTTCAAATCGCATCCAAACTTGTTACTTTTTTACTTGTCTACGCACCTGTAAAATACCGAATATACTACTTCATTAACATTTCGTTTCCTTGGTGGTATCTAGTATTCTCGCAATTTTTCTAACCGCATTCGTACGACCTTTAGCATATATATGGAGGATGCTTTCACTTCTTCATTGCTACATGATCTTCCATAATACGAGGATCATCGTCGGAGCCATATCTCACCATCGCGAGCCTACTATGTAAATCACAGGCCGGAGAAAAACACCTTAAAATGTATCTAAGGCCAGTCATTAATTTTCTCCTTTCTTATTTTTTGTTTTTATTTTCTATGTAGAGACATACTAAAATTGTCAATATGTAAATAAAGAACAATAGAATTTAAAGCAACAAAATTTATATTTAACATAAAATATAATACAGGCATTCATTAGTTTCGCATTTATTTATAAAATGAATGTGTGAGAATAAATCTTTTATTTCTAAATAAATTCTTAAAGATTTTTATATAAAATTTATCAATTTAGCGTTTCTTTGCCTCAAAAGTTGCTTGATTGTAGGTATACCTAACCTAACTGAACATAGGATTTATAAATGACGACAAAAGTTCTTTATTTTGTTGTAGGATAAAGCTTATTAGAAATATTTTAAATAGGTAGTCCAAGAAAATAGGTCTTTAAATACGAAGTTTCGATGGTGACAATGTCTGCAGGATATCAGTCGCGTCTCCTCGCAGTGCGACAGTCAAAGCGGTAGCCTTTTCAGCGATTGTCCATCCGTTCGCTCTCGCAGCGGCCTCAAACTGGCACAAATAATTGGCCCAAGCGGTTTTTCCGTCAAACTGTGGAGGCTTAATAACTGACTTTGAGATATACTTATTTTCGACTAGTTTCGGTGCCTCCGATGTTTCTTGACATTTTGGTGAATTTGCCTCTGCTATTTCTTGTTTTAAAATTTCGATTTTTTTATTTACATCGTCCTAAATTTGTGTTATTTTGTCTTGTAATGGAACTAAAATTTTCTGTTATATTTTCTTCTAAATTAAGTATTTTATTATTAAAGCTGGCCTGTATGTCTTTAGAATTTTCTGCGATCTTATCTTCTAAAATATTAATTTTATCACTGATTTTCTCTTCTAAATTAACTTCCAAGTCAATTATTTTACTATTCAAATTGTTCAAGTTCTCGTCTAATTTTTGAGAATTCTCTGTCATTTTATCATTCAAACTGTCTTCTAATTTTTGTAAGGACGAGTCAAGGTCACCTTCCAACTCAAAGCAAAATGTGTCAGGATCCTCACCTTCCTCCACCAAAACGTCTCTCAGTCTAGCTTGCAAAATGCTTTTCTTTCCATCTGTCTCGCACTCTCTCTCTTCCAGTATACATTTTAATTCCGACACTTTCAAGTCTTTCAACAATTTTTTCGGAGCCATTGTCTGACTTTTTATTTTCCTAGTCTATCACACACGCCACACTTGACACCAATTGTTACGTTTTTCGTCGGTTCCGTGTGGATAGAAAGTCACAATTTATTTAAACACTATTTATTTAACACTAATTAACAAAAACAATAACGATTTATAGAACTATTTACAAACGATTTATAACTAAGAATTTATTTTGAATTTTAGCGCGTCAACTGTATATTTATAACTGCCCCCTGTAGGCCACAGCCGCCGGCTTTTATACCTACAGCAAAAGAAATCTAGAATAGTCCATAGGTGCATAGAGAAGGTTTTCGAATGTTCTCGTATGTACTAGTCCATTCCAATGGGACTCGATTCTTCTCGAACGAATGAATCATTACGGTGTCTATTCTTTAATGCGATGTTAAGGTCATCTGAGGGCGGAACATATAGTTAGGTTAGGTCGAGTCCACACGGGTCCGCAACAATATATAAAATCCTTAAGTGACTGACATACTGATTAATCACGATCCTGCTCAAACCACTCAACGTAAGAAGCTCAATTTTGGCATACAGGTTGATTCTAGGGTGTAGAGGTTCGATAAGAAGGGATTTTTCGAAATTCCAGTTCCAAGAGAGTCAAACCACCCCTCAAATATTACAATAATTTTTATTTAAAAAACGGTCAAGTTTCCGAAAAAACGCTTGAACACGTATGTTTTATTTTGTTTTTTTACATATTTTTAAAAATATAATACAGGCATTCATTAGTTTCGCATTTATTTATAAAATGAATGTGTGAGAATAATTTTATTATTTTTAAATAAATTCTTAAAGTTTTTCATATAAAGTTGATCAATTCAGCGTTTCGTTGCCTCAATAGTTACTTGATTATAGGTATACCATGTGTTACATCGCTGAACTGAACATAGGATTTATAAATGACGACAAAAGTTCTTTATTTTGTTTTAGGGTAAAACTTATTAGAAACATCTTAAATAGTCCAAAATAGGTCTTTAAATACGAAGTTTCGGCAAAAACTTGAATTTTTGATATGTTATTTTGAAAGATCTAAAAACGAATTGTGAAAGAGATTTTTAAATTCACCCCCAGAAGGCGTGAAATAAATAAATAAAATTATTTTTTAGAAATTTTAGAGAATTATTATTAGAAACTTTTGGTAAAACTAGAAAAAATATAGGGTAGCTAAAAGTTAGAGGATGATAGTAGAAATAAAAAAAAATATAAAAGATGCTGAAAAAATAATTTATTTAATATTTTTTTCAATTTGTTTGGACAAATATAAATTTCACTTATGATTTTTTTTATTCACCCCGAGAAGGGGTGAAAAATATAAATAAAATGTTTTCCAAATTTCAGAGAAACAAACGGTAAGGACTTTGAAAAAAATGTTTGTAAAAAGTTGTCTCATAGCTTCTAGCCACTCTATCTCGGCAAATTTTGATTTGAGCAAAAAAGTAAAGAGACAATTTTTATGTAAAATTGAACGCTCTAAAACTTTTATTTGAACTTTTTTTCTAGTCTTTACCGTTTCTCCAAAATTTCGTCAAAATAATAATTTTATTTATTTATTTCACCCCTTCTTGGAGGTGAATTTAAAAAAAAATATCACAACTCGTTTTTAGATCTTTCAAAGTAACTTTACATATTTCAAAAATTCAAGTTTTTACCAAAGCTTCGCATTTAAAGGCCTATTTCTCTGAACTAAAAGAACTATTTAAATTGAAAGAAACTGTTCACTGTTTAAATAATTTATAGAAACTCGTTTTTGACTGGTGTGAGATAATTAAAAAAATACTAAATTAATCGAAATATTAAAATAATCTGGTACTGGTCAAACAAACATAAA